CCCGGATTTTAGCCCGAGGCTCTCAAAAATTAGTTGCAAACCTGTTTCGAACTTCATCTTGTCCAAGGTAATCTTTGTGAGTGAGGACAAATACAACATTGCAAATGCTTGCTTTAACACTAATCATGTCAGATACAGTATCCGACTTCTTTAAAGTTTCTGCAATGAGAAATGATATGCTACATTTTTGGAAATTTCACTGATATATTTCACTAATTCTTGTTACCATTCTATAACATTCCTGAGATAAAAACCAACTTTGAGAACAATCGCTTCTCAAAATTTCCTTCCGAAATCTACCAACTCGACCATCTCCTACATCACTAAGATTCAACGAAACATTAGCCATTTGTTCTTCAATCGATACTACTGAGGGTTTTCTCTGTGCATCATAAAACATCATCGAACCACCCCAATTGCCTGAACACCACAAGAATTTCTGAATTATAAGGAAAAAAAATGTGATGATTAGCACACTACCAAATTCTGTTAAGTAATAAAGTTATACAGACTAGACTGCAGTTATCATCCTTAAAATCAACGTTTTACAGACACCAAATTGAAAATTAATAAAGATTACTAATAGTAACATCTACCGTGCTGGAAATCGGTACCGATTTGGTTGGATGGTACAATTCTTGTTTGCAACTCTGCTTCAACCTGCTGATAATCTTGTATACACATTGGTTTTCCTAAAGTGCATTGTGCACCATCTAAAACACAATCAGATAAACTTTTAAAGATACAAAAATCACCGAAGAAAACAAGTGGGAGTAAAGGATTAATTGAAATTACTTAAACGAACCAGAGTTTGAAGGAGGCTTTGCAATCGCAGCAAAAAATGTTTTCAAAATGCTCAGTTGCGAAGGCGTCAAAAATACACACAAACCATCAAAGTTAAGGCTAATTTCCTGAATAAAAAAAAAAAGGAGCTACTGTTATCAGAGCAAAAATAAATTGAAATCAAACTTGATACAGTAACAAGAAAACAAGAAAAACCTTTTCCGAAGACAAAGAGTACTGCGATGAGATCTCGTTGTTACGTACTCGAACAATAACAGTTTCAACGCTACCACTAAATGATGCAAACAGAACTGGATTCGACTCCAACCTGCAACTTTGATTCTTTCTTATTTAAAGTAAAAGAAATAAAAATCAGATAGAGAAGAAATGCACAAAACATACGTAGTACTACTGGAAGAACTTAACGGTGAGGAAGTAGCAAAAGGAAATTCGTCTTCCATACAGCTGTTACGGGAATAACATGATTCATAAATTGTTGAGGTAGCCGACATCTGTATGGAATATAACATACTGTCGCTTTTTTCACAGTGCTCATCTGATGAGTCCGAAGAACCTGACAGTTTCTGGAACTAGAAGTTCTAAACTTTGAAAGTTGAGATGAAAACTTTCGAAAACTATACACTTCGTTACTGGACAAGAAGCTATTGAAAACAAAATCATCAAGCAAAATGTAGGTCTACCAACCTTCATTGTTTTTTCCTTTTCACGTCGAAGATACATACTTGTTATGACTTGTGTTGATGCAGTCATATTTTCTTCTGATAAATCTTTCATCGCTGGCCTAAATGAAAAAAATGACAATGACCAGCAATATGTAAGCGGATTTTTTAACCGTCTTCCATATTTTGCACCAAAGAATGCACACTTATATACTCACTTGGTAAAAATATCGGTATAAAGACGTATGCCTTTTACATGAAAAAGTTTGTTGAAATCTGGAACAGATGATAACGAACGTGGTTGTGAAGTTACCGTTTCAGCGTTAAAAGCTTCCGACTCTAATTGTTCGTCGATGAGTTCAATCCTATATAAATATAGGGGTACAATGGTCTGTATTTTGTGTAAATTTGGTTTCATAAAAAAATACCCCTGAATTAACATAGTTTCAAAACAAAAATAAAACTCGAGATTCTTAAAGTATTCGAATTAGAAATTCATTTTCATCAAATGAAAATAATGTTTTGATACTACACCAATCGACTCGCAGTTCCAACGCAGTGCATAACCAAGACTCTGGATCGGGAACACTTTCCAAGCGAATAATAGCATCGTTGAAAATTAATCGGAAACGAGAGATAACAGCATCAATGACCTAAATTTCATGCTAATTTCATGCACTTTAAGAGCAAATTCAAGAACTGAATGTATACAGTTTATATGAAGGAAATAGATACCTCAGCAAACTGTTCAATGCCTCTGTCCTCTGCTTCATTGATAGCTTCCTCTTGATTCAGAAAACTCTGCGCTAGCTCCATAGATGTTGCTAATGATCCCATAACACTTCCAAACATAGAAGCCACTGAAGACATGTAAATCATTATCTCGAAGTTCAATAAAATACAAATAATATATCCTGAATTTTATTGAAGACTGAAAAAATCGAAAATTTGATCTGTGACCTATATCTCCCGGAAGCTCTTCTGCGCAGTGTTGAAGCTGAAGTGTAAGCTGTAACTGCTTCACCTCCAAATCAACCGATTTCACAAGGATATATTGCCATGGAACTGTGATAGTGACTTCGCCAATGTAACCTTCAACCACCGTAAATGGTATTTTCATCGATTCAAACGCTTCATTTAATTTCTAGAGAAACAAAATTTTCAGCTCACCATTTAAACATCGATCAGTGGAATTTGTTAAACTAAATAAAGACCTGGAATTCATAATATTTGAAAAGGATTTAAATGCTTTCTTATAAAAAATCCATGCTTGGCAATACTTTGCAGTGTGTTTTGTCTTTCTTTTTCGACAATCAACAACATCTCTCCGAAACTTGAAAATTGATACCTGTACGTCCATGTCAACATCGCTAACAGATGCAATGCCACCATAAAGAGTGGCTGATAATTGTTCCAAATTGATGCTAGATTTCAGGAAATCGCTTAAATATCTGTGTATAAGAAAGCGACACAAACGTTTTTGTAAGGCATCCGTGATATTAGATAAACCCCAAACAACCATACTGTTACACTCTGCAAAAACTACATCTTACACTATAACACTATGAATACTATGCAATCTCACATCATGCAACTGTAATGCCGACTAAAAAATGAAAAACTGAAATCGATGCATAAACTATTTCTTCTTCTAAGACAACACTTCTAAAAATCTAGATGTATCAACGAAGTCGCGCATCAACTATAAATCCCGGTATAGAAATGAACCACTTTTTAAGAAGTTTGTTTAGTTATCTAGACAGATAAATGTGAATAATGACTATCAATCTGACTACATTCCAACCAACAACTAATTAATCTTCGTTCCTGCTAGCAAATTGTAACATGTATAACTGAGAAAATGTCTTTATCTAGGAAAATGCCACATACAAAAGGAAATATTATATGAGAAACAAAACACGAAAAAGTAAATATTACAATACACTCAATCAGAACTGCACCTCTAATTTTTTGTAACACGATAAGCTCTCTCACGACTTCTGAACTGAAAGCAAATTCAACTGACGGGTAGCTACAGATATACCATAATTCCAATCTGTTTTCAAACGCGGTATTTGTTTTCGAAGCAGAAATGAAATGAATACTGAAAAGATAACGCTTCCAACGGAAGTAATAGCTTAAACGTTTAACTGCCACAATTGCAACACAATCGATAGAACTGTGACGCACTCTCTTCAATCATCGCATCTTAGTTCATAGTATTTCTGCGTGTTTTGCGGTTGGCCGTCGTCTGCTCAGGTGGGTCATCTACCGAATAAAGGTGTAAGTTTTCGTTGAGACTGAGGAGAAAGAATGCTTCATTATATTTCCACATACCTGGAAATATTGATCAAAGTCAAAGGAACATCCGTGTTAGCCGACTTGTAATCCTCACTCAATGGAATAGTAGTTTGAGTGCAAGGCAAAGTGATTTGTGGATGCAGTTTTTATAAGATGTTAATGTGGGGAAAGAAATCTCGTTTGACCCTCCGGCTACGTGCATTTTAACAAAGAATCACGTATTCAGGCTGTGAATATAAATTCGATATTCTTGGTTTCTGTGTAGCAAGTGGACATTTTTATGTATATATTCGGTCCTATATTGATTCTTTTGCTATATTGCATCTTTTGCGTGGCTTGGTTAATTTAAATCAGCAGCGGTTAATAGTTTCTTATCATATTCTATAATGGAGACACCGTCGACCATCCCCAAAATTCACTGACGTTTTTATCAATTAGACTTTTGGGACAGAAAAAAATGAAACATTTAAAAGTTGAACGTTAATGTATTAAAGAGACTGCAAACTCGAGGATTTTCAAACATAATCCGTTTCATGCAGATGTTATTGTTTACTGCATGGTGAGATACTTTCATACTGAGTTGTTCATTTAGTCATAATGAGCCACACGTGATGAATACCTTGAAAAGTAGTGTGGATGATATAGCCTCGATAGCGCAGGAACGACTTATAAAGACCATTTATGTGACAAACTTTCTGTTCAACAACCAGCCGTATTAGCACTGTTGGCTGAGGTAAAAGACAAATACTGGTATTTTGTTTAGCATTACCTTTTTTTCTCGTTTTCAGAAAGGTGCTAAATCATGCAGAGTTCCATAAAAAATATCACAATACTTGAAAATCTTTGTGTTTGCTTGATAATATTTTGCTTCAGGTCATGTAGTACGTTTTCCAAAATGTAGGAATTTTAGTTAGCTGATGATAGCAAAGGTTTTTTTTAAATACACGGTTGGACAATGTATGCAATTATGGAAAACCTTCCCCACAAGTCTTGAGTTACGTTTCTATCATGAATTTTTTTACCTTGCAAAAAACTCGACATTTTCAAAAAAAATTCTACACATTGCTTAAATATGTGGTCCCTATCATGAAATTATTACACACAATATTTTGTGGTCTTTTCTGAATTCACCGCAGTTCATTTTAAATACGGAACAAAAAGCTAAGCGACTTGTTAAGTTTTACAGTTAGCGTTCATCAGTTGTGTTTTGTTGTATTCTCGTTTAAGTTTCAAGTTTTATTGTTTATTTGGTATATGACTGGGACTTTTCTTCTGGTAACTCTTGAAAGCGGCACTGAATTTTGTAAAAGTTTCTGGGATTTGTCAGAATTTACTTTTATTTCATAGAAGAAAACAATTCCTACATCGTTTTCCTTCTGATAATGATTTAGTGAGATTATAACTTTCTTATATATTCTGTTCAAAATTGGCAATAAAGAGTTACGTGAAATCGACTGGGTAGGATCTCAACAATGGTGACTACAAGTATTAGCATTGTGAAAATTCTATAGCCATTTTTTACACTGGTTCTCGATCTCTCAAGATTCGTATTTTATCATATTGTCACCGGCAAGTTCTTGTATGTTTCCTGAGAAGTTAATTTATTGGAATTAAGACTTTCTAAAGCAAATTATAACCGTTAACTTGGATTGATTGGATGGTTTTATTTCCAGTGCTCAACTTACTTCCGTATTTATTGCATCATTGTTATGGTGGTAGTTATGTAGCAGCTTCCTCCAAATCTTATGGAGTAACTGAGCTTCTTTGTTTTAGACATTCTGGAGTGCTTTTGTGTTAAGCTATTTTTTTGCATATATTCCAGACTTATTTGCGTTACTCAATTATTCTATCGTATCTGTTCAACATTCACTGGTACCAGAAAACCCATTTCTTCGCCCTACAAACGAAGTATTGTATACACATACACATATTATCAATAATGCAGTACAACTTGGTTTGTATTTGTTGCTTGCGACCTTTCGCAGTTGATATAATAGAGCAATTATTTAGGTTGGACTGGTGAGAAAATATTTATGATTGCCTACTCAGCAAGTGATTCGGTCATCTTGAAGATTGTTTAACTTGATACAAAGAGGATATCGAATTGTTGCTGTTTATACACTGTTTCTTTTCCACGTCTTATAATCGGTAGCTTATGCTCTGAGAGTGGTCTTTTGTCTCTTCCTTTTTAATAAAGTGAATCTTCTAGTTAGTCATTGGTATTTTGTGAAACCATAAAAAATAATGGAGGTATTAAATTCAAATGGAAAGTTCAGTTTCAAGAACTCTGGATATATAACCTACCTTTTTTTATCCATGATCACTATGTTTTTAGTTCAGTACTTTCCGTCACCTTCATAGTTGCTTAGTTCTATGGATCCTCTTTTACACACATGAGTCGTGTTGAAGTGTATTGTTTCTGGAAATATTGTGATATGAATTTATTGATGATTGCTATTATGTCCTCATCTACTATTTACGCATACGTTGGTCTATTAACATTACAAATGTTTTCTTATCAGCTTTTACTGGAAAGTCGATCACAGAGAAGTGGTGATAGGTCTTGAAAGAAAAATGCTAACAAAGTTGGCCACAATAGCTTGCAAGAATATGTGAAGCAAGTATAAAAAACACAGAGAGGCGATGCAACAGATTTGGATGTGAGTTGTGTGGAGATGGTTCTTTAAACTGTTGAATATTTTCAAATAGTTTTTACATTTTCATTATGTCTAAATATTGAGGTAATGGCATCATAAAATTGTACAGTACTGGGCCTCAGCTACTGATAACTGTTGATTGGATTATATGAGATAATGCTTTCGAGATATTACACGACAGTTTCTCCACTGCTAGCTGATTATGAGTAGTAGAAAAATCATATAAACTGGATTTTTTGAACAAAATTTCTTTTGTTAACTATACCAATTCCATGTGAAATCAAACCCGCTTCATATTCATCGCTCGTCTGTATGTATGATCGATGGCTGGTAGACTATTTAAAAATTCATCTACTCACCAAGCAGTATGCATTTTGACCAAGAAACAAGAAGTAGACGACATCCTCTATTTAAAATTTCTTTGTGATTTACTAAGATGATAGCTTTTCTAAATTTTAGCTGCCATAGAATTTTTTGTCCCGATTACATTTGAAAGTTGTTTTTGGAAATATTGGTTATCTAGCATTTTGATTCTCATTCATTATCCCAATTGCATAGGATCTCGGGAGGAGAAGGAAGAAGTAATGAACATGGAAGGCAATAAAAGACCTTTCCGTCTATTACGATTTCCGGGATGAAAAGGAAGATAAGTTTGTTTATTGTGTGCTTTGCAGATTTAGTTATGATTAAGTCATGATTAAAACATGATTAAAAGAGAAACACGATAAATTTGTAAATAATTTGAAATCATTCCAAAAGACTGAAAATAATTATAACAAATCATATATTTCTGACATAACAGAAACAAAAATGTCTCGAAAAATTCAGTGATATCTCCAATATGTGCGTTAATAGAGGATCTAGCGTGATTCTTTCAGTTTGGTTTGTGGTGCGTTTTAGAATGTATTTTGAAGGAATAATAATGGTTTCAAATTATTTTTAGGATGCTTTTACATGTATTTAGTCGACAAATCTAGTGCAAGCTTGCCATATGGATCCGTAATTTGAAAAGAAAATCCATAATTTGGATGATATAATTACATTTGCTAAGAAGAGGATGCTGGTGGCCGAGTAATAGCTGTTGATTTTCATAATCTTCCATATGGCTTTCTTAATTTTACACTTATATCGCCTGAACGTGGTGAAGGTGCTAAAATTTGTTTGAATTGAAGAGGCATTTGGTATAATTGAGACGTCTTCTACGACTTAGGTTTTGTTTTTTAGATAGGCTGTAGAATAGAGGCCAGCATATCATGGTAATTATAACTTCAGTTGTAATGCCGACAAGTGAATAGCTGGTGACTTTCAGGAAAAAATTAAATACCGTTTTCTGGTTAAATTATAATTTAGATTTTCATATCCGATGAAATTTCAACTAGCTATTTAAGGAATTGCTATATATACTAAAATTTGGTTTTTTAATTCAAAAAGTATTTGTTCCCACTGAATAATTGTGTTCTATGCTTTTTTAAATTGTTTTTCCTATTGACTATCATAAGCAAAGTTAATTTATTTCTTGCTATGATATTCTATAGCCATTATGCGACATATGACTTTTCCTTAAGTCATTATTGCAATGAAGTGCACGTGTGTTTGTACTCCAGCTAGGAAAATAAGCTTTCACGTAGTTCATTTATTTTCTGTTATGATTCGGTGTAATTGAAACGCGTTGATTTAATCGGATTTCGTCGCTATAACATCTTTACGCTTTTTAATCAAGGATAAGTTTTGCCGCATTCCGGTTTTCAATTCTTTTTATACAATTTGTTAAGAATTGTTTCTTTACTCGAAAGCTACAAAAGTCAGCATTTTATGCAAAATCCGTATAAAACAAAAGTGCATTTTTGAAGCTAAAGGATGTAGTTTCTTTTTTGGAATACTATACTTTTTCAATTTAGGACTTTTTTGGCACTAACTGCAAATTAACCGTATTGAAATTTATGGCTTAGGAGTATTCTTTCTGGCACTTTTTACGAAAGTCCGTATTGACTTAGCGTTTGTTTCTTCATTCAGGTTTTTCAGTGGAATTTCGTACTAAATAGTCTTCCAAATATCAGAAATTTTATGTTCTACAACTGTGCAGAGTGTAATGGGAGTGAATTGAAGTAATTGGTTCTTTATGATTTATATAACCAGTTGGGGTAAATTGCGCACCAAAATGCTTCAAATGATTAACAGGCGGAAAGGTTTTTACGCCATCACTGAATAATTGAATATCCTTGTTTAACGATGTTGGCGTTTACCGGACCATGTTTTTAGCTCCCTCTAGAAAGGACACGGCAATTCCTTCTTATCAGTGAATAGACTGATATTTAAATTTACGCTGTTGTTAAATATAACAAAGTCCTGTTGATAATAAAGATTAGTTCTAGTAAGCATAGCATCATTAAATTTAATGTCAGTTACTTGTGTGGTCAGTAAATTAATGGCAAAATTTGGAGTATGGAGTTACCTTTGTGTTCTGGGAAAAAACAAGACTGCTCATCGGTTGACCTATAATAGGAATCATTTGTCGCCGAACTAAATGTATTCCAAATAAATTTTTTGAAAAGTTTGACTGGGAAGGTATGAAGGGAATGTTTTGTATATTCAACTGAATTTAATATTCTTGATATTTAGCTGAAGCATAGCATTTTCAGAAACCGATTTGAATCAAAAATACATACGACTGTTGAAGGAACGGCAAAAAACATCTGTGGGGTGATCGAATGCGACTGAGTGAAGAAGTCTTTCTCCAACTGTGACGTGTGTGTGTGTGTGTGTGTGTATGTATGTATGTATGTTGTATGTAGGTATGTATGTGTGTATGTATGTATGTGTATTAAATCAAGCAATGAAGTGTTGCTATGGAAGCGCCTAAGGAGGAAGTACGGTAGGTGGGCATTTGCTTTGCTTTGGCAGTAACATTTTAAGTGCTCTGGATTGCTTGAAGTAATCTAGAATTTAGCTTCCCCTTGAACCATTCAATTTAAAGTGGAAAAAAGAGAGTTCCACCTATTACCACTATTCTTGTTATTACCCGTTAAGTAGTGAGCAGCTACTGATAGACTACCAAAATTACCTAACGACACCCCCACTACCTATTAATTAAGTACCACTGATGGATTATCCACGATTGGCTTCTTCTACGAAACAGCACGAACAGAAAATGAAGCAGAAAATGAAGCCTACTGGAACAGTAGCAGCAGCCACTCTCGGTTAGTTGGTGGATGAACTAACGATTTTATTTTGGTTCATGTATACATTGACCGGGAAAAAATGATATCATATGAAGATTATACGAACTTTCAACATAAGTAAATATATACAGCTGGTGCTGTAGCGGATGAAACTGATTTACAGGAAATGAGAGAGCTTTGATTCAGGAAGCGAAGGAAAGCTTTGACGGGTTTTCCTCCTAATTGTTGGGCTCACTCTCCTTTTCTACTTTTCCTCCAATAGTCCGCTTCCTGTTTTCGGTTGCTGACCGGATATTCGAAAACCTCACCACCAATCATTAACACAATCACATCCTAAAATATATCATTTTCTGGTATTTTTTATTTCTTTTATACCCCATCCTTCCTCCACCCTTTTCACTTACCAAAAGGTTCTAATAGAGATTATTTTAGTCCATTCCTCGTCCTTTTTCCTTGGCTTTCATCATTTGATAGTTTCCTTATTCTTTTTTTATTTTAAGATTTGCTTCCCTTAAATGGTAATTTGCTAATCGATTTTTTAATGTAAATATATTTGACGATATAAATATGTCTTCAATATAAATCTATTTTCGATATAAATACATTTTCCATATTAGTATATATCCAACAATGTAGATATATTTTGGACATAACTAAATTTTTTTGAAGATTGTATCAAAAATGTATTTTTTGTGTTTGTAAAATAAAAAGGAATGGGATGTTGAAATAATTGGATTATTAGAAACGTGCAAGACATAGAACTATCCTCCTGATCTAGCTTGAGCAGCTATCTAGGAATATGCATATTATCTCAGTGCAAGTTTTTGTTAGATGATAACGTAAATGAAAACAGCCAACTTATCTTGCCATCTAGAAAGAGATTTTAAAAAAATTCTAAATTCAAAATGGTAACCAGTTAAATGAACCAAATAACTCACAAAGATAGTTCATTTCATCATTTGCTTATCATTGGTCATTCCTGTCTTCTCATTTGATTCTATATTAGTCAAGGATTTGAAATCAAGTTTTTCTGTCTCCGCCTTCTTTCATTTTAGTGAGAAGTATTGTTCGGCATAAAATTATAGATCAGGATGGAGACAGATTTGGCATACAATTGGAAGCACAAGCAACCACCATAACGGATTTGCAGCATAATTTTATTTATCCAGGTTTGCTGTTTCTTGTTGTGGAAATCTGAAATTATAAATAATCAGTTAATAATATTTTTGAATGAAGGATTTGTAATTTCTTGTTACCTCAGTGCATCTTCATATATAGACACATAGATAGACAGATATGCTTGAAAACTTCATTGGAATTCAAAAAATGAATAATTTTAGATCCTAAGTTTTCAAAGAGTAAGTACGAAAACGTAGAGAGCAAAATCAATGTTTTGTTGAATGTTTTGGTTTGATGAGTTAAAATTCTTCTCAATTCTAGTATGTATCAGAAAATAACAAAATGCTTCTATTGTTACTGAATATGTCCATGAAATTTTCGAAATTAAGATATTTGTAACTCCTAAAAATAACGAATCTGTATGTGGATGCCAAAATTTCGGGCTTATCTTATTGGTTTCTATGAAATTTAAAGTCATAAAATTTGAATTCAATTGTATTTCAATGTTTAGAACTTGAATATTTCAATCATTAAATTAGCTTTAAGTTTACTTGATTGTGATTCTCCGTGTATTTGTATGATATATTCATAAGGTGAAGATGCAAAAAATTAGTATCCGAAGTTTTCAGAAAATTGATATATTATAAGAAGCCTTTTTTCTCTTTTTTGATGGCAATTACCTTAGCAGCTCAACAGTTTCTTTTAACTTCGATATGTTCTTCCTCTAGTTGAAGTGTTATACTGAAGCATTTTAAAATACAAAACTAACACATTCAGAGACATTTCAAACTGTATTACTTTTGAGCAGCACCCAACAGCAGTTATTGTTGATTTAGCGAAAATGTGGTGCTATTCGTGAAGTTATTCGTATTCATAAATATGAATATATTTATTTTATTTATTAAAAATTTTTTTTCTGATATAAAAAAGTGTCTGATAAGCTATGGCAATGGCACTACTAGTTGAGTCAATAGTTACCGTATAAGACAACATCTACGTAACAGCAACGTTCATCGATGCGAACGAATTAATGACAACGTAGGGAGTTGCTAACAAATAGAAATGCTTTCTTTTCCTTGTTAGCTGATTGATATTTCTTCACCGCTGTCATTGTTTTACCAACTATAACTAATACTTCTGTGGTATTTTCAATCTGTGGTAATTTCTGAATATTAACACAAATTTTTGCTACACCATCTTAAGTATATTTCTTATATTTCTCCAGATATAATGAATAAGTAGTGCAGGACGAATCTTCAGCATTAGTTATAGCTAATTTAGACATTTGATTGAATAGTTTTTCTAAATTTCTGAACAAGCGATCCATAGCTGACAAAATATTTATTAATCATTAATGTAATTAATATGAAATGTAATATTTTAAGTAATTTTTTCTTTTTCTTTAATTTATAACAGATTTGCCAAGATATGCCAAATAGAATGAACTGAATTTTCAGTTGCTGATTAAATTTTTCATATCATTTGTTTCCATTATGAGTTGAAATGTGTATAAATTCTGGGGTGTCAAAAGTTGCGCTGACTGGATATAGAACAATCTCCAGCTGAGCTTGTACTTCAAAGAAGCTTATTGCAATAAAGGTTACTCCAGGTAAGCTTCATTATGAAGGATCGAAGGTGAGTGGACCCGGTGAGAGAACATCAGTCGATCTACTCAAATGCTTCTGTTGTGCTCTTTTCATTTCCAGCTCCTGTAATAATACATCCATTAAGCATATAACACACACTTCCATTGCTTATTAACGCATCAATCAAATCTTACTACCAGTACCGCCACATATTTTTTATAAATGCGATTTCAGGAATCTTGCTTCAATTATTTTATAAAACTCAAATTTT